ACCAAGCATTCAAAGTTCCACTTGACTGAGTTTTTCATCCGTCAGAATGGCGCCGATCCAAGCTGTGCAACAAGCCGTGTGGTCAGTGCTTGCATAACAACTCCTGTGCATGGAAGCGTGGTCCTTTGAGGCAGATCATACTCGTTCGTGACTCTTGTTTTCATCTTTCATTGTTCATTCCCACTAAAAATTTCCATGAGCTACCATTTCTTTCCATGGCTGTGTGCTCTTGAACCCCATCGCGTGCTTCTTGCAACTCTTTAAAAGCTATGCACACCTACAATGTAAGGCTTCAATGTGCTTGGTGTTTACGCTCTATGCCGAAGCTGATTACCCTCTCGATGACATTCACCACTTGCCGCTGCTCCAAAAGGAACTCCAACGATCCATAGGCTGCTTGCTCGCGTTCCCATTTGACGGCGAATGTTGTTTCTCTCTCGGCTGGATACTACTCTCAAGGGTGTCAACAGCTCTCATGGATGGGATCATTTGCTATTGTAAGTTGCCTTTGTGCATATGAGGGTGGTAATTGAACCAAGCCAAGTAGCCCATATTCTGATAGGATATAGCTTTGGGAAACGAACATCATCGATGTGCACTACCATCGTTGACAATGCCAAGAGGGTGGGTGGGTTCACAATGACGTTTATAATATACGAGATGAATTTACAAAAAAAACGTGCATTCTAGATGAAGATGCCCATGGATGAAGCAGCAGAGCTGGTGTCAACATTGCCAAAGCCAAATTCAAGCAGGTAAATTTATAGCTAATCATCATTTGAATGTCATCGTTAACATGTAAAACATAGCATCACGGTTAATGACATTCTTGATTGGGATAAGGCGACGAAGAAGATCCTCAAGGAGACGTCATGCTATAAGGGAATCAAGAAGCGTCTTGCATTGGAGTCTACTACGAGGTCGATCGTATTCATCAAGTACATCAAGCAGATTGTGGATTGTTCACCAACGCAGCATAACCTTTCAAGTCGCCATCCGTACTTCGCCTGTGTCACCATCAGATTATGATTGCTTTGCATATGTGGACTTTCGTATCGCTGAAAAGCTAGTGCATCATTTGTAAGTCTCACTCGTATGCTTCTAGCTTGTTGTCTATTCTGATCTTTGTACTTTCCTAGCCTCGACCTCATCCAAGCACCTGCCAAATCCTTCATGAACGCTCCCTTGAACGCACAGCAGCTTGTTCCACCACTATTTTCCTCATCAACATGTTCTTTGTATCCTGTGATGACACGCTCAAGCTCATGTGGTATGTGGGAAACATGTTGAAACGGCATCATGTTATTGACAATAATATGGGGATATTACTAGGATTGAGGTTAGCGTTGAGCCGTCTGGCTTTGTCAAATGGGATGGCCTTGGTTTGGCCGTTGGTAACGCTTGCCCGGATGCTTTACCCATGGTTGCAGAATTTGCTGGCAGTATCCACACACTGCTGAAGAAGAACAATGACCACGCCAAGCTTTTACTCCATGCCAAAGACATGGTTGA